CTCTGCCCATGGTTGCTCGGACGGGGAAGATAGCCAAGACGCTAAGTTGTCGGACAAAGATAACCAACCCCCCCTCGGCCTCTGGGACGAAGTCCAATATTGCCCCCCTGTGGCTCACCAGGGGATCTGGAGCCGCCTGCGGATCCGTATTCCCATGCCGGCTGCACCCCCCTGGCCAAAAAGGGCCTTGGCTGAGGACATTGATTCCGGTATAGTGCTTTCAGGACCATCCCAGGGGCTCAGGTCGACTTGTGGTTCCAGGACTGTGCGTTCGACAATTTGATTGTCTCCAGTATGCACTTACTTCTTCTGCAGGGTGGCGTGCTGGGACAAGAGACCTCCAACCTGAGCCTGTCCGACTGCTTGGTCGGCCTGGATCGACTGGATCGTGTGATCCAACTTATGTCCCAAACTATGGTGCAGTGCACGGCCAGACTCATTGCGTAGGAATGTGCCTGGGACAAGGCTGCCCACATCTCGCAGATGACTGCTACGGTTACGTGTGCATTTTCAGCTAAGCAATCCAAATGTTTTCACTGCCCTTCGACGCATTGGGATAGGTTCTGCCAAGAAAAGGAGAGCATCGCAACCGGCTATTGTCCTACTGAAAGACGGCACCATGGCACAAACAGCTACCGACGCACGACATGGGTGGCTTGAGCATTTCTCGGACCAGGAGCTGGGCACCCAAGTTCCCGCCCAGGACATCCTCCCTTGTTCAGGAATCCGAGATCCCCATCTTCAACATCCAGGACCAGGCAGCATAGTTGATTCCTACCAGGGTCGAGTTCGAGCGAGAGCTACTGAAGACCTCCCCCCTATGTGCGAATGGGCTCGACGGGGTCGCCGGGGCTCTCCTGAAATATTGTCCCCACGTGTGTGCGAAGGTTTATTATCCGCTGTTGCTTAAGTGCTCCTTGGGCCTTTGGGAACCTCTTCAATGGAAAAGCTCTATGCTTCACGAGATCTACAAGGGCAAGGGTACCCCCCAGAAATGCAAGTCTTGTCGCGCCATTGCAGTTGGACCTCAGATCGCCAAGAGGTCACACGCTACTTTAAGCGCTAGGCTTCAACTGATTCCCAGCACGGCGGCATTGGACATCGCGGTGCGGATTTTGCATCTCATTTCACCCGCTCCTTGCAGCAGCTTGCAGTTAAAAGATCAACCAGTCTAGGGCTGCTGTTTATCGACCTCGAGGCGGCGTTCCATCGAGTTATTCGGGAGCTTGTGGTGCGCTTCAACTCCGAAGGCGACGTTTCGGATGAAAGAGTTGCTCAGCTGGTTCAGGCTTCGGGACTCCCCCCTGAGGCCATGCATGATTTGGTTGCGGCCCTGGTCTAAAACCATCCTGGAGGAGTTGGAGGTCCCCGAGCATCTGTCTGCTCTCCTGGCCGAAACTCTTACGAACGCCTGGGCTAGCACCCCTGGGGCGGGAAAACTTGCTGCCACCTCCACCCGATCCAGGCCAGGTAACACGTTGGCCTCCCAAGCTTTCTGTTCATTATATCGAGGTGTCTCCACCAGGCACGCCAGGCGCTCGAGGAGGCCCACCTCATCTGTGAGTTTCCTGCCCCCTCGCGCAAGACCCTGGACATCGGGGTTCCTGACGACACCACAGTTTCAGCAGATGGTGCCAACTACGTAAATGACTGCATGTTTTTCGTTCTTGCCGAGGCCACGCGTCTCGTCCAGCAGTTGCGGGCTACTTCGACCGTTGTAGTCAATGCTTTCACTCCAGCTGGGCTCCGTCTCAACATCGGCCCGAACAAAACAACTACGATGCTATGTTCAGAGGGAAGGGTTCGGTTACGGCCCGTAAGCAGTTCTGGCTGGAAAACGCTAGGCAAATGTCGGTACCTGCTTCGACTACCTATCCAAGTGGGGGGACTATTGGGGCTGTTCATACCTACAAACACCTTGGGTGCATTGTCTCGGACAAGATGGATCTGGGCCCCGAGCTGGTCAATAGGGTGAACTCTACGGCTGGGTCCCAGAGGACTCTAAGGCAGGTCGATTTCCAGAATCAGCCCCTCCCCACCTCGGGCAAGCTAATGCTGGCGGACGTGTTGATCATGTCTGGCAGGCTCTACAACGCGAGTGTTTGGCAAGAGCCAACAGCAGGGCAATTTCGCAGATATGCTACCCAGATTTTGAAGCTGTACCGAGCGGCGATTGGGATGCCAGCCTATGGCCCCAAAGCTCAGAGCGACGAGGCCGTCCTGGCCATGGCAAGTTGACCCGACCTCACCACCCTACTCCGTTGGCACAGACTTCGGTACCTCCCAAGACTCTACAGCTATGGGCCCCCTCGCCTGTTTGCTCTTATACGCCTTTCGGCCAATGTGAAGGGGTCGTGGCACTCGCTGATCATTGAAGACCTTCGATGGATACGTGACGGAGTTCCGGAATATATGATTTTCCAACGCCGGTTGGTGACTTCCCCAGGTGGGAGGCGGAGATCTGTAAGCCTGGTAGAGCATGGGCCAAGCAGGTTGCAAAGGCAGTTGCTGCTCACGTTCGCTGGCAGGCTGGGAACTATTTTGCTCGGCAACGTATCAAGTGTATCTTGGAGGAGGCGAAGGAGGAAGGAGTGCCTTGTCATCGACTTAATGTACCTACCTTACCCCCCAAGCGCTACCCGGGCCTCTACTGCCCCTACCACACACCTAAGCCCCCTGCCCTACGGGCCCATGTGTCGTCTCAACATGTCCAACACCGTCGTCTTGCTGCTAGATACCTGGATTCCCAGATATGCCCAATATGCCTGACTTGGTTTGGTACTCAAGAGCTCGCGGTGGACCACATCGCGTACGGTAACCCACGTTGCATGCTGTCGGCTCTGCTGCACTTTTGCCCCAGTCGACACTACTAGGCAGTACGAGTGCGCTATGGACGAGGCTGCTGCAAGGACGGTGGCTAGGTCTAAAGGTGCGATGCGACGAGAGGCCACTGTTCCTGTTCGCAGAGTCCCAGGACCGATTGACATCAGATGTAAGACCAACGTACCCTACGCCGAAGCTTGGGCCCTTATCAAGGACTCCGAGTACCAGCACGACCCTAACAGGCCCGTCACCATCGATATTGATGTTCCACGACACCCCGACGATGACGAATGGCCCTTCAGGCCAGAATAATACACTAGGGGCCCAGGCGATCAGCTTCCCAGGGAAGGTCAGTATTCGGTCCTTGCCTTTGTTCACCTATTCTCTGGAGCTCGGCGACCGCGGGACCTCCAAGAAAACCTCGAGAGAGTGTTGCTTTCGGGACCCTGGACTGTGGTTGTGATCTCCCTGGACATTGCCCTGGACCCCAACCTCGGTGACCTTACTAAGACTGAAGTCGTGGACAAATGGTGTACCTGCCTGAGATCTGGACGAGCCCTCGGCATTGCTGGAGGTCCCCCGTTCGAGTCTTGGTCTGCAGTTAGATGGTACAGATTGACGGATGGTGCTGGTTCATGCCCTCCGCCGCTTCGGACTTACCGACATATTTGGGGTAGGCCCGACGTCCCCGTCAAGCAGCATTGGCAGCTGGTTGTGGGAAACCAATTGCTTATCAGTGCTCACCATCTCCTGATGGTTTGTCTTGAAGTTGGAGCTTGTGGGGTCGTGGAGCACCCAGAAAAAGGCCTGGTGGGAACCCAGGGCCCCCAGCTCCTGGGAGCTGGACACCGCCGACGCCATTGCCGCCTCCCCCGCCGCTCAGATGACCAGCTTTGATCAATGTGTTTTCGGCCAGTTCAGCAAGGCTCCCAGTACGTTGCTGGCTTTTCGCCTCCCAGAGCTCAGAGACACGATTCATGGTCAGGGGTGTGAGGGGAGATGCGCTCATCCTCGTTGATTTCACAGAATATTGGAAGGGAGGGGGAAGGACGGTACTTGGAAGACTGCCCCAAAGAAAAGGTACCCCCCAGAGATGTGCGAAGCTATTGCCCGTGCTGTACGTGTGTACCTGGATCGTGCATGGAGTGCAACAAGTATTGATCAGGAAACGTCGGATCTCCCGGAAGAACTCAATTCCTTCTTCCAGGCGCTGGATCCCTATGTTGAGCAAGATACGGGTATTGCTCAAGATTTCTCGTTTTTGATGACAAGAGCAGGAAGCGACGAGACCCACGTTTTGACCGCCCTCCCCCCGCCGCAGAGGAACAGGGAGGTAGGGACAGTCTCGGAGGTGAGGAGGAGGACCCGTTCTGCGTCGAGGAGCAGTACATCACCGCCGCCACCACGGCGGCCGAGGCCGCACCGGGGGCCCCTGCCCCCGTCCCTTCCCCTCCGCCCCCTGCCCACCCCACTGTCCCCGAGCTTTCTCCTGAGCTCAGGGTCTTATTCAGAACAACAGGGAAGCCGCTCGGGAGAGGAGGTGGTTGCGACAGCGCGCTGCCCTCGGACTTGATGCCAGGCCAGGCTCCCTCTTTGATCGGGCCCCCGACAGAGGGTGTGACCCGTTCGCCCATCAATCTTCTCAATGACCCGTTTGGGGTCCCCAAGTACCCCCAGCGAGTCGACTCTTACGGATACCGATACCGATACCGCTCCTCCACTCCTTCCCAGTCCACTGTGTTCCTCCCCGCTCCACATCACCGTCGGCCCCATCACAGTTACCAAAGCCAATACAACCATGTTCCTCTTTAGTCTGCGGCGCGGGCGCCGTGAACACTCATTTACATCAGTAATCAATGATTCTGCTAGTGAAAAAATCCCAGGCGACCTCGAGACAGGCCAACAATGACTCTAAACGACGTCCCTAATCGCTTCCGAACTCCCCCCAGACGGACGGATGGGAGCCCAAAGAGGAACCATGAAGATCCACAAGGCCGATATCACAATTCGCCCCTCGAGGGCCAAAAATACTGCGAACGAGTGGGCGCAAGGACACATTACCCGTGGGATTTCACAAGCGGCAGAATTGATCCGGGCAGAGCCCGACTGCAGAGAGAGAGCACGTATGAACGACGACTATTGGATACGAAAGGGATATCAGGGTGTGTGGGCAACGCCTCTGCGTGAGCCTTCAGCGTCTCCGCGAGCGCTGGCTTCAGGCTGGCCAGCCCTACGGACTCCTCGGTGCGGCTCGCTCTTGTGACCCCTCGTCATCGTCCTCGTCCGCGTCCTCGCCCCGATACTCGTCGTCGTCGTTCCCCTTCTCCTCCTGCCCTCCTCTCAACCATTGGCGTCGCAGCCCGCAGCCACTGCGCATGAAGACTGCTATTCTCAATGGGCGTGTGGGGGGGAACTATCAAGGAATCTGGAATACCGAAGAGCATCCCAGCGTCAAAGACAGTAGCCAGCCCACCCCATTCAAGTTCGGGACGCGGCGGGAAGCGCGAGCACCAGGGCAGAGGACAGCGAGACCCGCTCGACGCGCGCTGGACGGCGTCGCGACCGCCGACCTGAAGCTTCCCAGCGAAGGGGATGGTGGCTGGCTGGGGAGGGGGGGGAAGGGAAGGGAAGGGAACGGCGCGCTCAGGAGGCGTAGCAAGCCGAACATCTGAGTATAAGAGCTCCAACTCCCGGCTAACGAATCCCACAAGAAGAAAGCACATGCGAAACTGGGATGAGGGAGGATGGGAAGACTCAGAGGGCTTGAACGTGTTTCGTAGTGTGTTCTCAATGCCGCTGCGAAAGGAAAGGGAAGGGGAGGAGAGAAAGGAGGAACCGCAAGCGCAACCAACGATACTCGTCCGCGCGAGGCCTGCTGCTGCAATTGCCGCCGCCCGCAAGTTCCCCAAACAGCGGCGGGCGGGTTGTGCGGCGAGGGCGGTCATGAAGGGCGGAGGGCGTGGCGGGCCTCGAGAGCCCAAAGCTGCGCCTCCAGCGCGGCCTGTTCTTCGCCGCTGAGGTCCGCCCAGTAAGCCAGCACGTGCTCCTTGGGCAGGGCACTCGGCGTCTCCTTGACTCCTCGTGTGCTCGTGCTCCTCCTTTCCCCATTCTGCCCTACCCTCCGATATCGCATGCTCATCCGCATGGCCAGTGTCTCGCTGGCACCCTTGAGGGCGCCAGGCTGTGCAGCCCTCTGCTGGACTGCTATATTTCTGATGCCTCTCTTCCTCTTTCTCTCTCTCTCTCTCTCTCGTCCTGTCTCTTGTTTCCTGCCTCCTGTCTCTCCATTCCTGCAGTCCTGTCCTCTCTCTCTCTCTTTGTCTCCCCCTCTCTCTCTCTCTCTCTCTCTTTTTGCTCTATTAGGGTGGAGCCAAGCCTCACACAAATACGCGAGGCAGAGATCCCCTTGTGCATCCCGAATTCCTGGCGCTCACGTCTGCGAGCGTCTGGGTGGGAGACTCGTAGCCTGTGGCGGCTGGACGCTCCTTGGCGGCTCCCCCCAGGAGTGCCGAACTGCTACTATGTCTGATATATCGGTATGACCTTGGGACTCTGAAAAGAACAGGGGTCGGGGAAGCCTAAACCAGCGGTTCGCCGGAAAGGTCCCGCGAAGTGGACGCAAACTGGCACATTTTTGACACCCCATTTGCACCATGCCTGCCGCATCGCGGTGATCGCGGGACTCTCACAAGAGGAGTCGGGGGGGCAGAAGCGCAAGGAGATTTCCTGAGACATCCACCCGCTCCAGGCGCGAACGGGGCAGCGTCCCCATCCCTGGCGGCTTCTCCTCAGGGTGCCCAGGTGCCACGACGTCTGCGTCGCGGTGATGCGCTCCAACAAGAAGAAACTCTGGAGAGCAGAAGCACCCAGACTGTCTGCAACATCCCGGCAATCTGGTCGCGAACGGGCAAGTGTCCCCCGCCCTGGCGGCTGCCCCTTGGGGGGCCCAACCGCCACGCCTGCTATGCCGCGTTGGTCATGTGGCTCTTTCTGGACGCGAACGGCAGTGTGTCATGCACCCCCTGGCGGCTCCCCCTCCCTTAGGGTGCCCAAGTGCCACTCCTGCTATGTCGCGGTGGCCATGGGGCTCTCAACAAAATAAAGGGGTATGACGGGGCCCACAATCTAGTCGTGAACGGGAGAGTCATACCTTCTGGCGGCTCCCCCTTCGGATGAAAAAGTGCCACGCCAGCTGTCGATGTGACAACACTGCGATTATGGGTGTACTGGAAGTGGAATGTGCGTCAGTCGAAATACGATTTGGATGGGTACAATTGTAGCTGAGTGAGAACGGCCTGTGTATAAAGTTGGGTGGCAGTGAATGAGCCTGTGTATGTGTGACGTGAGTGTGAGCTGAGTGTTCTGGTTGCGAGTGGCTCTGAATTGAGTGGGCCTGAATGTGAGTGAGTCTGAGCATGAGCGGTCTAAGCGTGATGAGAGGGAAGGAAGGTTGGAGTGAGTGCGGAAGCGGAAGCGTCAAAATGGTAACAATAGACCCATACCTAGGATATGGGGGTAAGGCCAAAAACATATCGGGGGGCGCCCCTCAGCCGTCTGGTCGGTCTTAGTGTTGACCTGAGATTCCTGGATGGCCAACACCAGATGGCGAAGAAGATCCTAGAGGCCGCCAGTACGGCCCTCAGAGGGCCTCAAGAGCCCAAGACGCCCGAAGATGTCACCCAATATGATTTTGAGATGGCTCAGGAGGGCGACAAGATGCCCCCGAGGGAGCACATGGCACTGAACAACCATAGTACATGACTGCAGATTGTTTTTGTCAGTCCCCGGTTCTGTCAATAGCCCCCTGGATTGCCCAAAAAGGTCCCAAGGCGACCCCAAGCAGCAGAGGGCGCTACTCTGACGCGTAGCCGAAGAGGAGGCGTTCGGCCCCGGCCCAGGCAGAGCCGCGTCCTGACCCGCCTTGGCGAGCAGGTCGGTGAGCGATGCCTCCGCGCACGTCCTCTTCATCGGGAGGTCGCCCAGCTTCCGCGCGGGGGCCGCGCGCCCCGCAGAGCGCCCCTCGGTCCGGCAATCAGCTGCGACCTCTGCAGAGGGCGATGCAGACCAGGCAGGCAGGCAGGCAGGAGGCCCGCATTCCTCCGTCCCTCCATCTCCGCCAAGAGCGTTGCACACCGTTCCTGTCCCCACCCCATCCTCCCTGGGAGCCCACGACCACCAAGTGACATGTATGGTGGATCGTGTGCAAGTCCCTCCCCTGGGGAGGAGGATGTGTCAAATGTGCGTGTCCGTGTCCTGTGGTATACACACAGCACTTGCGTGTCGGGGTACTTACTTGTCTATGAAGAACCAGTGGGCGCGAGGCACGGTCGTTGCTGGGTTCCCCGGGGTTCCTTGGTCTTGTTTCCTGATAAACGGGGTTCGGTAGGGTTCCTGAACCTTGCTTGCTTATAAATTGTTGCTCTTTTACTCTTGCAAGGCATTGCCCGGGTTCCCTTGGTTCCTTGGTCTTGGTTCCTTGGTCTTTGTTCCGTGGTGCCTCGGCACGCAATGCAAAGCGGTGCCAGGCAACGCCAAGCAATACCAAGAGCTGCCACGCAATGCCAAGCATGAACCCGGCGCGACCCCAATTGGTGGAAAGCCTATTGCATGGGCGCATCGCTGGGCGCACCGCTCGGTATTGCTTGGCAGTGCTTGGCATCGCTGGGCGCATCACTTGGTATTGCTCGGCATTGCCTCGTATTGCTTGGCTTTGCTTGGCATTGCCCGAAGAACCCGAGGAACCCGAGGAGCCTGCGAACCCTTGGAACCCGAGAACCCCGGGGACTTTTCTGGGAGACGGGAAAAAAGTAGCACCCCCGAGGCAGCGAGGGCGGGGAACCAGAGGAACCCGAGGAACCCGGGGAATCTCCGGGGAGCGGGCAAATCGGGAGACTCTCCATGGGGGGGGATCCCATGGGGGGGCAAAAGGGGATCCCCCCATGGGATCCCCTCCTGCCCCCCCATGGGATCCCCAGGGGATCCTATGGGATCCCCCCCCTGGGATCCTATCCCCCATGGGATCCCCCCCCATGAAGAGTCTCCCGAGCAAAGCAGGGTCCCGAGACACCATTCTCATTCACCCGGCAAGAAGCCCTTAGACAACACTATAGGGGGGGACATCTGCAAAGAAAGAGGCCAAGCACTGCCAAGAAGTGCTGAGCAGTATGTCAAGCAACGTCGAGCAATGCCGCGCAATGCGCCCATGCAATGGGAGACTTTCCCCTGATTGGGGTCGCGCCAGGTTCGTATTTCCATTGCGTGCCTCTGCAATCGCCGTTTTGGCACTGGGTGCTTTCAGGCCCCATGCCAGCGACCCGAAGAGACTGGCGACCTGAATAGACGCATCCACAGATAGTTCCGCGGGCATGGCCTTCACTTAGCCTAGACATTGCATGGGACAAAGTTCAGAGAGGAGCTTCTAGACGGCGGAGATGATCCCATATTGGCGTCGTCATTGTCGTCATCCTCATCCCCGTCGTGAGTAGCCATCGTCGTCGCCCGCTTCTTCCCATCCGTCTGGTCAGTATGCGCCTCCCGCCTGCGTCTGCTGCTGCTGCTTCTCGTCCGCCTCCTCATCCTGATCTTCCCTCCTCCCTCCTCCCTACCCTCCTCCTCCCTACCCTCCTCCTCCCTACCCTCCTCCTCCTCCTCCTCCTCCTCCTCCTCCTCCTCCTCCTCCTCCTCCTGCTTTTCGCCTCCTTCTTCTCCCTCCACGTCCGAGTCCACGTCCTCCCCCTCTTCCTCCTGATTTTCCTTGCTCATCCTTCTCGTCAACCTCTCCTCCATCTCAATTCGGGTCGGGCGAAAGGGGGGGATAGCAAAGGGGGGGTTTGAGAATCAGCTCGCGTAGCTGATTTTCCCGGCGCCTCCTGGCGCCGGAGGCGGCCATGTATCGAGGAATGGGCCCCTCGGTGAGGCCGAAACCAGCTGCATGCAGCAAATTTCGTAACCCCCCCTTTCCCAATCCCCCCCTTTCGCCCGGCCCGATCAATTGAACACACCTTCGGAACGTGGCATGGACTGCCTTTGCAGAGCCACCCGCCTTCCCTCCCCCGCCCGCGCCCGCCACCTCTGGGGGATACGAGTGGAGGAGGGCGACCCTTGGGCGGATTCCCCCCCCATTTCGTCCTCTCTCGCTGGCCTCACGCGCCGCCTCTCCGTCCGATCTGCGATCTGCAATTGCGTTCCCGAGCTCCGCCAAAGCCTGGGGAAGGCCTGCGGTGAGCGCCCGACTCAGGGAGCGCTTGAGCAGAGACTTCAACGACTGGCGCGGGCGGCCGCATGCTCTGGGCCTTTTCCCGGCAGAGCCTGCTGAGTCGATCAGGAGCTGGAGCGCTCAGCTGGGCACCAGGTCTAGCGGGCTGTCGCGGGTGCGGCCACGCCGCTGGTCCGGCGGCCCTCGCGACGAGCCAGAGAATCGCCGCGCCAGGGCCGGGCGGAGCGGTAAGGACTACTTATTCCGCGGCCGAGCAAGGCGGCCGGAAGCGATAGATTCGGGCAGAGGAGTGGAGCGTCCTTGTTGCGTGGTCCTTCTGCTCCTTACGCTCCTCTTCCTTTCATCCCTCCACTCTATGCTCAACCATTCCATGCTATACGGTATCACAGCGGACCAGGCCACACAAACGCCCACCTTAGCTGACGGGACCACAATAGACCAGGCCAGATTGACGCCAAGGCATCCGGGACACTTGTGGGACCAGAGGTCATTCCCGACCAAACCACAACATGTACCCTACCATAGCATACAAGAGCCGATCGGACCATATTGGTAACATGTCATACCAGACCGCCCCACAGAGCCGAGCAGACCACACCTTGCTACTCAGGACGACAACACACCAAAGAGGATAGGCCTTACCAGAGCAGGCAAGAAGGAGACACCCATATGCCCCCACTTCTGTCGCCCGCTGAATGCGAGCAGACAGGTGGGGTAAGGGAATCATGAGTGAGGGGCTGGAGGGGAGGTGAAAGAGGAAGAGGGCGGAATAGGGATGGACAGTATACAGATTAGGAAGACTTCGAGAAATAGTACAAGGATGAGGAGGAACCACTTGGTCGACGGAACTTCCTTGATTCGAATATCTAGGAGTGGGCGAGGAGGGGGCGAGCTCCAATGCGTATCAACAGAGCCACAGAGGGCATCGAAAGGCTCCTCTTGAGGATGGACGCGGAACTGGTCACTGAATGGCCCGGTGGGCCCTCATCTATACTCACCCTGCCGCACCTCCCGATCCTCCTCTCCATGCCCCCTCCTCCATACCATCCTCTTCCCTCCTGGGCCTCATCCCCGCCCATGCCCCCAACTCCCCAGGCCCCCCTTATTGTCCCGAGCCCTCCTCCCCGAGCCTCCTCGCAGCCCTCCTCACGGCCCTGCTCCCCAAAACATTCCTCCTGCACGGCCGGTCGCCCCGCATCCTTGGAGCGGGAAGGGATGGGACCCGAGCAGGGTGAGGCACGGCGGAGGGCCAGCGAAACGGGGAAGGGAGACGCGAGGACGGCGGTCGGCCAAATCCCGCGAAGGGCCCTCCGGTCGGGCGTCACCCGTCCTGCATGCCCCTCCTGAGGCGGCTTCTCTTTGCAGCCGCTGCGCGGGAGCACGAGGTCATCGGGAGAGACGCGGGGGAGAGAGGTGCTGCAGGGCTCTGACCGCCGAGCGCGCCCCCCGTGCCCCGGATACCAAGGGTCAGACGTTCCAGAGGAGCCCGCCAGCATGCCCCCGGGGACCTCAAATGGTGTGCGAACACCACGGCGAGCGCCCCCTCGGGTCGATCTCCCTGCGGCTGACATGCTTTCCCTCACACGTGCACTGCAGCCGCCGCGCGTCGCGGTGTCTCGTCCTCGCTATCCGCCTCGTTGTCAAACTCTTCACCACCCCCCTCCTCGTCCCCTTCCTCCCTGTCCCCCTTCCTTGTCCCCTCTTCGCCCCTTCAAACTCTTCACCGCCCCCCTCCCCTTGTCCCCTTCCTCCCTGTCCCCCTTCCTTGTCCCCTCTTCGCCCCTTCAAACTCTTCACCCCCCCCCGTTGTCCCCCTCCTCCCTGTCCCCCCCCCTTCCTCGCCCCCCGCGAGCTCGCCCTCCCCCTTGTCCGCCCCTCCTTGTCCCCCCCCTCCTTGTCCCCCCCCCCTCCTTGTCCCCCCCCTCCCTGTCCCCTCCTCCCTCCTTGTCCCCCTGTCCTTGGCCGCCGCCCGCCGCGCGCGCGGCGGCCGGCCCCGCCTCTGGCGCGCTGCCCCCGTCTGCCCCTCCCGGCCGCCGCCGCTTGCCCGCTCCTCTGCTGCTCGCTCGCTCGCCCCAGCTGGAATCTTCGACGTGGTGCTTCGGCCCGTCTCTCTCTCTCTCCCTCTCCCCCTCTCTCCCTAACTCTCTCTCTCTCTCTCATGGCCTCTCTCCCCCATCTTTATCCTTGTCCACCTCGTCGTCCTCGTCCTCCTCTCCATGGGACGTCCTCGCCCCCGTCCTCAACCTCGCTGTCTCCCGTCTCCCTTTGCGTCCTTCTCGTCCTCTCGTCCTCGACGCCCTCGTCGTGGTCCCTTCTCTCCTCGTTAGATCCCTCATTGGTTTCGATCTGGCATTGCTGGTTCCTCTCCGGAGCTCCCGCCCGACTTGTTGGTCAGGGGCAAACTGGCATGAACTACACCACGCCAGATTGGTATGGACTTTCGGCGACCCTTGGAAAGTCACAGCGCGACGGCACGTGGCAGATGGTCCGAGCGACCGCATCCGCCTCTGCTTCCCAACCATGCGTTCGGGAAGCGCGCATCTGCGACTGGACTTCTGTCGCCCAACGCTGCACGTCGTTCATGTCTAATCGTGCTCATTTCTAATTGTTCCTGGCCCCCTGGTGGCCAGGAAGAGGCCCAGGACAGAACAATCAGAAATGAGAGGATCTTGGCCCCCAAAAAATCCAAGAACCCTCCAAGAATCAGACATGAACAGTGTGTACACATTCAAGTGCCACTGGCCGAATGCACCGATCGGCCAGGGGGCCTCGACCACTTCCGCGCCGTCCTCGGCCAGGGGCGCTGGTCGGCCGTGCGTCGATCGGTCAGGGCCGAGGAGCCGATCGGTCCGCCCTCTTCGCCTCTGGCAGGAGGCACTAATCTGCGACCACGGGCCGCCGCTCGAGCTATGGAAGGCCAGCCTGGGCGCTGGCATGCGGGTGCCGAGGCCCCGGCCGTCGAGTTCCCCCCTGCTGCCGACCCGGGCTCTGCTGTGGGCTGTTTCCTGCACGGCCGACTTCGGGAAGCCTGAGCCAGGAAACCCTGGCATCTCTTGGGGAGAAAACTTTTACGTCCCCCGGCTTCCGAAGTCCTGGCGATGGCGGAGCCGCCCCGTTTTACCGCCGCTCGCTTCCGCCAAAGAAGAGAGGTCAACTCCTTGACCCTCGAAGGCGAGGCCGTTTCTGGAACGCCGCGTCGCACCAGCACCCGCAGGCTCAAACTGAGAGGCGCCAACTGCCCCGATCCTTCATCGGGACGCCCGAGGTTTGGGTCTGCTGCTGCCCCTGCTTCCCCGACCAAAAGCGCATTCCTGTTGACCACGAACTCCCACCGCGTGATCTCGTCGAACGTCCTGCAGGCGGTCTCGGGGCCAGTGACCCGCGACCCGCGCCCCGTGCCCTCCCAGAGGAGAGAGGGATGCGCAGGAAAGAGACGGGAGAGGACGAAAGGCCGAGGAGGAGGAGGAGGAGGAGGAGGAGGAGGAGGAGGAGGAGGAGGAGGAGGAGGGAGGAGGGAGGAGGGAGGAGGAGGGAGGAGGGAGGAGGGAGGAGGAGGGAGGAGGGAGGAGGGAGGAGGGAGGAGAGACGGGAGGAGGACGGGGAGAAGCACGGGAGGACGAGCGGGCGAGTGGGGGGCCGCGGGTCCGGCTGCCCCGGGCCCGTGTCGGCGACGACGGGGGGCCCCGGGAGCGAAGCATCGCCCAGGGCGGGCAGCCGCGGCGTCGGGCCGCTGCCGCTTCGAAGGCACGGCAGATCCCCGCGAGGGTAGGCACACGCAGGAGTGGAGGGCTGGGGGCGCGGGAGGAGGAGGAGGAGGAGGAGGAGGAGGAGGAGGAGGAGGAGGAGGAGGAGGAGGAGGAGGAGAAGAGGAGAAGAGGAGAAGAGGAGGAGGAGGGTGGAAGGTGGAGGGCGGACCCTCTCGGCACCGCGTGCCCAGGCGGCCAGGCCCGAGCATCCAGGGAGGCCCGTGCGCGCCCGCGTGCTTCGGCAGCGGGTGCGGCCCCCCAGCCGCGGCGCGAGTGAGGAGCGAGCACCGCGAGGATGGTGAGGAGGAGGAGGAGAGGGAGGGGGGGGAAGGAAAGGGGAGGGGGCGGGGAGGAACACTGGCAAAGGGAAGCCGCCGTCGACGGGGACAACACCAAGCGACAGGTCAAGTCTCGCGCTTGCTCTCTCTTTCTCTCTCTCTATCTCTCTCTCTCTCTCTCGCTACCTCTCTCTCTCTCTCTCCCTCTCTTCTTTCTCATCCTCCTCCTCCCCTGCTCTCTCTTCTCCTTCTCCTCGTCATCATGCACCCCCCCTCCTCCGCCCTTCACCTTCACATCATCCCTCTCCTCACTCTTCTCCTCGTTCTCCGTTTTCCCATATGTTTCTGCTCGGCGAGGGCACGTATTTCCGGTCGGTGGGTGATCGAGTCTGCTCGAATGGTTAATGGCGTGACGTGATTCTTCCTCCTCCTGGGCGCCAGGCGCTGGTGTCATTGATGTTACAAGTGACTTTGCCATCATCCTCCACCTCATCTGTCTCCTCCGCGGCTTCCTCGCTCCCTTCTTCCTCTCGCCATGCCTTCCTCACCAGAGGCTGCTAGCGGCTCGCTGCGAGGTGCCAAGCCGCTTGCGCTGGAGCGCGTCTCCTGCTGACGCGACCACAGGCAGCGCGACTAACGGCAGGTGATGACCCCAACAAGGAGGAGGAGGACCAGTGTAAACCCCCAGGAGGACGATATTGCACTCAACCCTCACTCCGAATTCCCTTTTCAGCATGGAGCCTTGCAAACATTTCATTGCGGAACGTGCCGCATTGAAAGGCAACCACCTCAATTAACCCAATCGTGCCAATACACCATTCTTGAGACTTCAACGCCACGAATCACCGCCGCCGTTTCGTCCTCACTATCTGCAACCGCTCCAGAACGCAAGTTCTGGGACTTCAGCGCCGCGAATGACTGTGGCTGTCGCGTCCTGACAATCCTGAGCCGTGCCAGAATTCCATGACCGGGTCTTCATCCCTACGGCTGCAAGCTTGTGAAACGAGCGCGCTCGGCGCCGAGGCGAGAGCCACATGTTGAACCCCCCCCCCTCCCTCCTGGCAGCTGCTGGAAACTGTTAAAGCGAACGCGCGCGGCGCTGAACGAGAACCGCATTTTGAAAAGAAAGACCCGCCCTCGGTCCTTCCAGCTGGCGACAGAGTTCGCGGCGCTGAAGGCGAAAGCCGCACTTCGGAGAACGCTCGCCCTCAACCTTTGAAGCTGCTCCAGGTGTCACGTGGCAGGATCAGATCTGGTGAGGAAGGCTCCGGCGAAACGCCTGGTCCGCCCTGCCGACACTTCTGGAGGCGCGACTGGAAGTAGCCACTCGTCAGGAGGAGGGCTCACTCATCAGTAGCAGCTTCTCGCCAGGAGGACGGAGGAGGAGGAAGAGGGCGGTGCTCTGCAGACTTGCACACTGGCAGTCGCTCCCAAGGTCCGCGGATGCCCCGCAGCATCTGCGAGGGTTCAGGGCTGAAGAAGGAAGGGCGAGGAAGGAGAGGATGACCCGGAGTCCGCCGGCCTCGGAGGTGGGCGTGTCGGGTGGCACCATGATTGAAGGGGCCCCAGGACACACACATGAATACACACAAATAAAAAGATTCCCCATATGTTCCCATATTTGCTGGGTTTTTGTCTTCCCCCCCACTTCCCATATTTTCCTATATTTTCTGGGGGGTCGACGATTCATTGTGTCTGTGTGTTTTTTTCCCTCCTGAATGATCTCGAATGGCCGCACACTGAGCATACGAGGCTGTGGGGAGCGCGCGCCGCTGAGGAGGATGATGAGGATGGGGCTGCCGCAGCAAAGGCAGGACGGGGCCAGAACGCGAACGACGGGGGGGGGGCGGAAAAAAGACATGTCTGCACCGCTGTGAGAAGACCTACCCCAGAGCGGGCTGCCCGAAGCCCCCCGCACACCCCGAGAGGAAGCAGCTGCCTCTCGGGGGGGGGGCTCCTCGCTCAGCTCCATCGGTGGGCGCGAAGGGGGGCCCTGGGAGGAGGACGGGCGGCCAGGCACGGCGTCCAGCCGCCTCGCGCCATGGTCGCCGTGGGGCCCGCGACGCTCCAGAGCCAGTGCACGGACCCGGCGGAGGCCAGGCGGGAAGCGCCACTCGGAAGGCGCCCGTGCCCGCAGCTTCGAGGCTTCGGGGCGAAGGCGAGGCGGGCGAGGAGGCGCGGGAGGGCGGGCGTCCGCCGCGGGCGCGCGCGCGCCAAGCTGGCCGGTCCATTCGGGGCCCTTGAGCTTCTCGGGCTCGGGCGACCAGCCGCCGCGGGCCCAGTCATCCACCTCCGGGATGGGAGGAGGGGAGGCACAGCCGCCACAGGAGGGGGGCCTCCCAGGCGAGCGCTTCCTCTCTTGAGCGAACACCCGCCCGACCCCAGCAAGGCCCATGGACTGCACGGATAAGGCTGTCGGGCGCTCTGCAACAATTCCAGTGTTCAACCCCACCAGCCCTTTCGGGCGTAGGTGGTCTAGAGTGTTTTGTCTTCCATCTGCCCTCTTCCCCTTCGGGGACGGGCTTATCACTGTTCCTTATGAATATACAGCCCCTCCCCCAGGCGACCGGCATCCAATCAGGAACCATGGGGACAGCATGCCGACCCGCCGCCTACCATCCCTGTCAAAAAACAATGTAAACCGCACACTGCCTCCACACGTGGAGCATGCGCGGCCAACCCGATGCGGCCCGCCACCATCCTTGCCAAAAAAACATGCAAAGTACACTTGTGGGCAAACTCTTGAGTCATGTTCGTGATGCCCGCGAGCACTTTGTATTGTTTTCGACAGGGACGGCGGGGGTGCCAGCATATTCCATGCCGTGCGCAGGGCTACCAGCCCTGGCACACGGCTGGAGTGTGCGGCGAACCTGGCGCGCTCGGAACACGTGGCGCATCTGGCGCACCAGGCGTGCCTGGCTCGCTCGGGCCCCAGGGGTGCCTGGCGCGCGTGGCGCCCCTGGCACGCGTGGCGCGCCTCGCCCAAGCGTCGCGTATCTGGGGTCGGCTTTGGTTCCCAGTAGCTGCCCATCCAAAGATGACCGCTGAACATTCTCAGGCTCGGGTGTTACTCATGTGTTGGGAGGGCGGGTGGGAGTGAGCCAGACGGCTTGCGGGCGGGTGGGCAGCTTGATCCCTCCCCCGACCCCCTCCCCTGGACCTGGACGAGGGGTCCCCCGCGGGGTGGGGGCGTCCAAGATGGCTCCAAGAGCGCCTCGGAGAGCCCAAAATGAGCTCCAAGATGGCTCAAGATATCATAAGATGCCTCCAGATGGCTCCCAAAAAGCTCCAAGAGGCCCCGAGACCGCTCCAAGACGGCTCCAAGTGGCCACAGAGCCCTCCACGGAGGCCAAAATCCTTCCAACACCTGAGGAAAATCAATGACTGTGGCTGTCTCGCCTTTTCGCTTCCGGTGGCCATCCGAGGCCTCAAGATGGCTCCAAGAAGGCCAAAGAGGGCCCCAGGAGAGACCCGAAAGAGCCAACACGGCCCCAAGAGCGCCCAAGAGCGCTCCAAGAGCGCCCCCAAAGGCGACTTTTGGGGCTCCCAAAGGGGGGCGGGAATTGGAGAACCCGTCTTTTTGTTGATCGATGTCCTCCAAGATGGCCCCAAGAGTGCCCCTAAAGCTCCCAAGACCGCCCCCAGAGGGCCCCAAGAGGCGCCCAGACAGCCCCAAGAGGCGCCGAAGAGGCCTCCAAGAGGCTCTCAAGACGCCCCCAAGAGGTCTCAAGAGGATCTCCGAGGCACCCAAGACGCTCAAAGAAGCCCCTGGGCTCGCCAGATGCTCCTTCTTCTCCTCCTCCTCCTCCTCTTCCTCCTCCACCCCCTCCTCCTCCTCCTCCTCCTCCTCCTCCTCCTCCTCCTCCTCCTCCTCCTCCTCCTCCTCCTACTCCTCCTTGTCCAGTGTCTCTCCCTCCTTCCTCCTCATCGCCCTCCTCCTCCTCCTCTTTTTCCTCCTCCTTCTTCTCCTCCACCATCCTCCCCCTTTTGGGGTATCGGACGGCTTTCCCCGCCCTTTGCTCTTCTGTACTCTCCCACACTTCCCTGATCTTCTCATCTCCCCTGGGCATTGTTTCTGGATGGGCTGTGGGGATACTTGTTTTTCGCGGCCGCAAGCGGAAGCGCAGGCGGCGTCCGAAGTCAGCCCAGGCTACGAGCCAAACCTAATTCCCTAAGCGCGCGAACTAACGGCCGCCGAACCTGCCGCCGAGAGACGCCGAGGAGCGACTCCGGGGAATTGAAGGCGGAGCTGCAAGAGGTGCCAGGTGTGCCAGGCGGCTGAAGTGCAACCATTCCAGGGGCGAGACCACCGGGAATGCAAACGAATTAACGGGCCGCGGACGCGACTAAATTACCTAACGCGCGCAGGGCCGCGGATCAGGCGGCTCACGACAGCGTCCAGGGGGGCGAAGCCGATGCAATCCAGGTGCCATGACAGCCCCTGAACGGGCATGCAGGTGCGTCCAACAGGCCTGAGGTAGGCACCGAAGCGACATAGCGCAGCCAAAATGGCGCGATAACGTTCCAACGTCCAGGTGCGGACAAGGGAACGACCCGAGGACGTCAGCCCCAGCCTGTCGGGTAGCACAGACGACGGGGTGGAAAGTCCAACGAGGATCCCGACGGCGGCAGCGAGCCGCGGCGCAAGAACGACATCAAGGTGTATCCATGTTCCGAGAAGACTACCACACCGAGATGTTTCGGCCCAGACCCAGCGGGTGGAAGGGCACCAGATGCACGCTACCCGTCGAAACGCGGCGCGTGTACACCACAGTGTCACAGTGCAGTCCAAAGAGACGGAGAGCACAGGCGGAACGAGACCGTGTATACCAAGGCAAGTCCCACAAAGCCACTGATCCAGGGTCGCGGTAGGAAGCCGTCCAGCAATGGGAGTCCAGAGGGCACCGATCCATGGAGCCTGAAGGGTGCCACAGGCTGGCTGGCAACAAGGGCCAACGGAAAAAGCTGACGGCGAGCCAGTCGCAACGCAAGAAGCGCATCCAGGGTGTGGAGCATGAAGACAAGACAGAACATCCACAACTGAGATGCGACAGCCCAGATCCGACGAGTGGAAGGGCGTAGAAGAGCACGATACACGGCAGACCCCGAGGAGTATGCACATCTAAGGTGGCCCAGCGATACCCAACCGAGTCGCCTAGCACACAGGGACGAGGACGCCTTGTACCCGAGACGTGTCCCTCAGAGCCAATGGATCCAGGGTGACGGCGGAAGGCCGCGCTTCTTGTTTGAAAGGTCCAGGGTGACGGCGGAAGGCCGATCGTTCGGTTAGAAAGTCCAGGGGGAAGCCAGTGGTCAGGCGAGCCGTGGCCCACTGACAGGCCAGGAAGGCCTGGCGGTGAGACAACTACAGTAGGGCCTGAGGCCGCGAGTCCACTGCGGAGAGGCGGTGGGCGGTATTGCCGAAGCGCGCACCTGGATCCAAAGGCAGGAGGCGCGCGCATCGGGTGGAGGGCGGCGGAGCGCCGCGATTAGGGGCCCGCGGCGCGGCCCGGGCAGCGTCCGCTGGGATTCAGGAAGTGAAACAAGGCGGGGAGAGACGAGCCGAGTGACAAGCGGGTGTCGGCCACCAGTGGAGAAAGGCAGTGATGCCAGTGGCAAGTGGTCTGCAGGATGCGCGGTGTCACGTGCGGAGCAGACGGCATTACCGAACGGCACCCCAAGGCCAAGGGTGAGAGAGGGTGCCGCTCAGGGGAGGGGGGGCAGAGCTGCCCCAGGTTGAGGGAAAGAGCGGCAGAGGGCCGCGGTGGCGAGTTGTGAAGCGCAGGTGGCGGGGCGGGCACTGGGGGGCGGCGAGGGCAGAGAGGGTTCAGTCTCTCCAGCGGAGTCTCTTTTCCTCTCGATCATCCCGATCATCAGGGTAACCTCCGCCGCGCTTGCCACCCGCCTGCCAGCGATCCTCACGCCATCCGTCGCGCCACTCGCCCTGCCAACTGCTCCAAGTGCCCCGGGAACTTGTCGCGCGGTCGCGCCAGCCCGCGTGGCGATAGCCGCTTTCCCTCCAGTCGTCTGTCTGGGAGTGACGCAGGTAGTTGGCTCGTATCTTGTTCCAGTCGATATCATAGCCCAGCCTCCTGTTCATCTCGTAGGCGTCGTACCCGCAGTCCTTCCAGGCCTCTAGGAAGTTGATGATATCCGAGGGCATGTGTAGCTGCGGGTCGGACTTGGGCGCCCTCCATCCAGGGAGCAGGGTACGCTGCGTGTTCGCTGTCCACAGTGCGCAAAAGACTGCTCCCAGCTGCGACTGAAGCCTGGATATGCGACTGGCTGGCGTCTCGTCGGGACGTTCGAGTTCGACGGTGCCCAGCCTGACTTTGTACATTGGGCCGCCTCCATCACGGCAGGACAGCATATTGAGCGCGTCCTGCTCCGAAGAGCCAGTATGGCGAGAGTAATGGGGCCTCCGCTCAGGGGGCGTCGGGGTGGGCGCGGGAAAGCGCTCGCACCGCGAGCCGCCACCGTCGCTGGTCCTCTCGTGCCTCGCGGGGTCTCGAGCTGGAGCCCTCCTGCGATCGGCGTAGGGCGTGTCTTCTGCGACTGAAGTCGCGGTATCCTCGCGGCTGGTGTCAGAGCTGCCCGCCGACGGGCTACGCTGTGGGCCATCGCCGCCTGAGCGATTATCATCGCCCTCCTGGGCCGACTCGGAAGGCGTGGGAGGACGGGCGGGTCCATCCACTTCGTAGTCGGGCTCCATCTTGTGAAGGGGGAGCCCGTCTTCCGCGCCTTCACCGCTGTCGTCGTCGGGCGGGTCATGGTGGCCCATGCGTGAGTCGTCCGCTGAACCCTGAGACCTGTCTGCGTCGGCCGCCATGGGAGTATCTGGCCTGTCGTCGCCACCAGAACACGCGCCAGATGGCGGGGGCCCTGCCAGGGAGGTGATCTCTGGCGCCGCGCCAGAGCTGCCTGTGGGGCTGGGTCCAGGGGGATTGCTTGCTCCGACCTTGGTGAATTGGCCCTGGGCCTTGGCGCCCTCGCCAAGCCACGGGAGGGAATCCACGATGTCCACAGGTGCCTCGAAACCAATCTGGCTGCTGAGCGGGGGAAGGGCCGGAGGTTCATCTGGATGCAGCGGCCTGAAGTCGCGATCCAGGATGTGGTCCAGGGTGGCCGGGCCTACGTTCCAAATCGGGACCAGACAGCGCCGGCAGCACCAAGTAGCGTTCCATTAATTGGCGCCCCCACCAAGCCAGGGCACGCTTATCGATGGGGGGCAGCCCATGTTGCTCGGGAACTCCTATGTCTTCAGCCGGCTCCCATATGAAGCACCCCAGC